TTGTGCTGGGTCTGTCCCTTTTAGTAAAGGTCGAAGTTCATCTAACAACTCATTTGGAAAGCCCACAATAGGGTGCAACCATTGCAGATCACCAAGTAACTTTTGAGCATCATGCAATGTATGTATTTTAATATTCAATTGCAATTTCTGGGGGGTAACAACCTGATCAGTAAGTGTCCATCCCAAATATTTCCAGGGTGCAGATAATAGAATTTTTTCAGGAGCTACAGCCAAGCCATGTAGTTCCAGGGCCTTATGTATTTCTTGAATTTGTTGACCTGTAAAAGGTTGCGGCTGTGCAAAGAAAATATCATCCATGTAGTGATAAATGGTTGTTTTGGCCCAGGCCTGTCACAAAGGTTGTAAAGCATTGTCAACATACAGCTGACACAAGGGGGCGCTGTTGCGCATTCCCTGTGGAAGAGTAAGCCATTTGAATCCCTTGTCTGGTTCTTCTTCCCTATTTAAAACCGATAAGGTAAATGCAAACCTCCGAGTGTCTTGAGGGTTAAGAGCAATAGTAAAAAAACAGTCCTTAAGATCCACACTTAAGAGTGGCCAGTCCTTTGGCAACATGGCTGGGTTGGGCAAACCTAATTGTAAGGCTCCCATAGGCTCCATTTGTTCATTTACAGCCTGTAAACCTTGTAGTGAACGATACTTTCCCGACTTCTTTTTAATAACAAAAATAGGGGTATTCCATGGGCTTACTGACAACTGTAAATGACCCTGATCATATTGTTCTTGTACTAGTACATGTGCTTGTTCCAGACTTTCCCTTTTTAATGGCCATTGCTTAACCCACACTGGTGTGTCCATGTTCCAAATGAGTGGGATTGGGAAAGTCCACGCAATGGCCATTAGCCCAAAGGGTACTCATATGTCAGCACTACCCCCATTTGAGCCAAAATGTCCCGACCAATGAGGCACTGCACAGTAGGGGGCAAAGGCACAACTGAGAAAACACTCGGTAAAATTTTTCCGTCGATAGTTTCATATAACATGGGTGATTTTCTTCCAAGCGTTAAGCCTCCAACCCCGGTAACTGCTACTGTGGTTGGCTGCAATGGCCAGTTGTGGGGCCAGCAATCTGGGCTGATAATGCTGGAGTCTGCGCCAGTATCTAATAAACCTTCCAAGGTTTGCCTGTCACCCTGATACTCTATCAATACAGCACGTTTTGGCTGATAGTTTAAATTCATTGTTAACGGAGTAAGTCCTCCAGTGGAGCCAAAGCCCTGTTCCCCCCTGGATTGTGATTGATGAGGGGGTAATGTTTTAGTCATTTGTTCCAATGGAACTAATGGAGCTATCCTCTGTCCTTTTTTGATTCGTATCAGTGGAAAAGGAGTATGTACCATAACACAAATTTCCCCAGTAAAATCAGCGTCTATTACCCCAGTTAAAACAAATAATCCCATCATGGTGGCTGATGATCGCCCCAGAAGCAAAGCTCCCATAGGCTGTCCATCAATGATGATTTCTCCCTTTATTCCAGTCGGGACCTTTTCCAGTTGGGTGGTCATGAATGTTACGGCTTCTGAGGCTGCCACGTCCAGCCCGAGGCTCCTGGCGGTGGCTGGTTGAAGGGGGGCTGGGCTGAGGTCTTAACAGCTGCTACTTCTGTCTGGGTGCGGTGGCTGTTGGTCGCGCTGGGCCTCCCGGTTCCCGAGCGGTGTCCGCAGGCTCCGTTATTGTGGTATCCAAGCGACAACTGTGACACCAGATGCTAGCTGCTTGGCAGGCTCGCCGGGTATGTCCCATGCCTCCGCACCGGTAACATTTAAATTGGCCAGTAGATGGAGATCGTGGACTACTTGTTGCTGCTACTTGTAGGGGCGCAAGGGTGGAAAGGACTTGACTCTGCGATGCTGCTGCCTGCTCCTTCAGTCCTGTCCCTAGCTCTTTAATAGCTTCTACTAACATTGCCTGAGTCCCTACGGGCACATTTGCCATGCGATCTAAAGCTTCTTCTATAGTCCAATTAGCTCCTAGGGTATTTAACAAACTTTTCGTAGCCTGGTTGCTATTTTGAAGTGCTCATCGCTTCAATAGGGCCCCTTTCATAAAATCTGCCACTCCAGATCACTCGATAGCAGCGGCCAACTTATCTACAGAAGATCCAAACGATTCACCCCTTCCTTGCTTTATACCCATGTATGAGGGAACCCTGCCTGGTTCTTTTATCCTGTCTATAGCTAGCCTCACCAGTCGCATAGCCTCTCGGCATTTATCAGGACCGATTAACGCTTGTGCTTCTGTTTGAGCAAAAGCCCCTATACCCAATAATTCATCTAAGGTTATCCCCTGTAAAGGGTCACCTGGTTGCCGTACCACTGCTATGCACTCCTGGCAGAGTGCTTGCCAATGTGCATTAAACAGAAGCTGCTGATGTTGAGTAAAAATAAGCTTCGCTATTCCTCTACAATCGGCTGGCAATAACACCTGGGTCCCCCAAATATAGTCAAGCATTTGCTTTGTGGGCTCACTGGTCACCCCAAACTGACTAACTGTGGACCGTAACTGCGACAACAGTTTCCAATCTAGGGCAGTAATTGCTGCCTGTAATCCACCCCCGTCCAGAGGAGTATACACCACGGGGCAAGCCACTTCCATAGCTGCTGCCATAGCCTCACTATCCCCCGAATCCGTGATCTCTTTTGCTACCGCTGCCCATGCCTTCCTCCACTCTTGTGCAATGGCCCCCGCTAGGTCACTCTCTGCCCCAGGGATCAGCTCATTGCTAGGAGAGGGAGTGGAGGGTCTGGCCAGGGCACAGGTGGTGTGGATGGTTATGGGAGGTGAGTTGCTGCTTGAAGCAGGAGCTGATGTTGGTGGCAAGATAACTGTGGATGTGGCAGGAGGTAATGGGCAATCTGACCAATTCCCATAACTTTTATTCTTACCCTGAGCCGCAGTAGCTTGCTGTGCAGCCTTCTTTTCTACCTGATATTGTACTAACTCTTTATGCACCACTCGCCATAACTTTCCTAACTTCTTTGCAGTTTTATCATCATCTAAAACCGCCTCCCACAGCTTATCTCCAAAATTTCGCCACTCACTTAATTCATGGACTGTATGAGGATTTTGAAAAAATCCCTGTGCATACCTGTAAGCTAATAACCCATGAAGCTCTTTCTGCAAATCTATGCCTTTAACCTGTCGCTTTTTTAAAAGGCAAGTAAATAAATCATATGCTGCTCACCTTTCCATTTTAAACATCAGCGCTGTTGCAGCCCCACAAGGTCGAGGCAGCACGTATCGGCCGGGCTTTCCTTTGAAGTCACCCAGGGACCGGCACCTCCCCTGTTTTCAGCGGTGCTTTTTCACCATCCTTGCTGCGACAGGACCTGAACTCCTTCACGATCCCCCGTGGTCGCCATTACCGATATCACGTCGTTGGGGTCACCATGTTGTTGGGATCAGTGGGAGAAATGCAGCACGCAATATGAGTGATCAGCAAATCTCAAACTTTATTGATAGGTACACATCTTTATGTTGGTGTTAATGAGGCTCATACATATTGCAAAGGCGAGCTCACTATTGGTTAGTTACTTATCAGCCAAGTACACCTACTTCTGCACTCTTGTGGATATTTTATTGAAACTTTTCTTTGTATTTCTGCCAAAGATGTTCTCCCCTATCCTGCTGTTGCACCAAGGGCACAATGTCCTTGCCTGTCATTGGACACTGACTACTGACTCCTATAGGGCATAGAGACTGCTCCTGACCAGCACCTGGACACCTAGACCTGGATTCAAGTACAGGAATCTGACAGAATGTGTTTCTAACCTGCTGCCTATTAAAATCACCTCAGAAGAGAAAAGATGGGTTATATTGTTGAGAATTCCTACATCAACCTACTGAAATTTGCACGTGGCAGAGAAGCATTTTAGTGGAGTGCAGACCCCCTGCCCTCCTGCTAGCTCAATAAAAGGGCTTTTACAAGGCAATGCATTTGTCTGCTGATTTCTTTGAATTAGGGAGACCCCTCAGGACTGCTGTATCCTGAGGGAACACTGCTGGCCATCGCCTGTGTGTATCTGCAAAAGCTTCAAATCCACTGCCTCAGCTTCTGGGTCCTCTCTTGGCTAGCATCCTGACGTGGATGCAGGGCTGCTGCCAGGCACTTCTGGGACCCAGTGGGTCAGGACCAGCTGTCTCGTGTCCACGGAGCAGCCCTGACACAGCCAGGGCCATCCCGAAAGCAGACAAACGCTCATTGGTCAGCAGAGAGGAGCAAAGAGCACTGGGCTGCTCTCAGGGTATCTCAGCATGGTGCTCCAGTGGGAGGAGCAGGCTGGCCACCCACATTCAGGGCATCCCCTGCATCAAAAGGATGGGCATTTTGTCCTTTTCATCCCTCCAGCCCATAACCAGGCCTGACATCTCCTCTTCTAGAGTGGAGTTTTTCCATTTACAGTCAAATTCCCACCAGTTAAACCATAAAGTTTCCTTCATTGTCTGCTCTTCATTATCTTGTTGATATGCACAACAGTGGACCAAATATGGCAGGGCCTTAGACATGACTTTGGTCCTGACATACAGGCTCCTTGTCCCTCTGCTGGCCTTTAGTGTGCTCAACAAGATTGTGGAACTGCACAGTGCTGTGGAGCTGCACCTTCAGCACAGGGACCTTTCCAGCCTGACCTGCCCTCGTTCCTCTGGGTCTGTGGGAGAGAATGGCAGCAGGGGCCAGTGTGTCCCAGGGCCCCGGATGTGCTTCAGCTCCACAGGGATGCAGGCAAAGTGAAGAAGCCAAACTGTTTATTAATGGAAGGCGAAGCAAAGGGAGGAGTGGGGAGGGAAGAAAGGGGACAGGTAGAGTCTGAGGGCTGGGGGGAGGCACGGAGTTGTCAACAGGCAGGGAGAAGGCAGGAGCTATGGGAGCTTCCCATAGGCTCAGCTGTGCCAATCATCAGCTGTGCCTGAAGCTCCAGCTGGTCTCTTCTGGTCTCTTCTGGCCTCTCAAGGTGATCTCCTCTTCCATGGTATTTTTAGGACTTTTAGGAGCAATGGTTCTTCTGAGCCACCAGATATACGTAGTTCTGCAGATCTCTCAATGATTCTCTGCTGAACGACTATGTTCATTTGGGAAGGGCTGTCATCTCTTCTCAGGCCTTGAAGGGCTGGAAGAGAGATGAGCAGAGCCACGGTCAGAGCCTGAATCTGCATGTAGCCAAGGAGGCCTTCCTGCCAGGGCCATACACCCCACCTCTTCCCATGGACAGGAGGCAGCAGGAGACAATGGGATCAGCCAGAAGGTGCTGGCCACAAATGTCCGCCGCACAGGTCCTGTCCCTGAAATCTCTCTGTGCTTGTACACACAGGGAAAGAAGCCTGTCGCAGCTAGGGCAGGACTTGCAGTTCCCCCAGTGGCAGGCCCCGCTGTCAGCCCGCTGCCCGCACTCACCCTCATTGAGGAGCTGGAGCTCTTCCTTCCAGCCCATCGTGACCATCCCGGCCATGCCTGTGAACACAGAGCCTGTCACGGTCCCAGCGGCACAGCTCCCTGCCAGCGGCGCTGCCGGCGCTGTGGCCACATGGACTGCTGGCCAGGCAGGGCTCAGTCCGACCCTTGCCGCATGCTGCCGCCCCAGGGCACGGCTGCCAGAAGGCGGCAGCAGCGCCCAGGCCAGGCGGGGCTCCATGGCGCCGGACCGGGCTGGCGCTGCCGGGGCAGCAGGCGGGGCCGAGGCCGAGCTGCGGCGGGCCGGGGAGGGAGCCCGAGCTCGGGACTCACCGATGATCCTGACGGCCGCCGCTCGCAGGGGCTCCTGTGTGCTATCCAGGAAGCGCAGCGCCCGGCGCAGGTGCTCGGCCGCTCTGCTCCTGTCCTCTGCCAGCTGGAGAGAGCGGCAGGAGGGAAGGGTTGGCGCGGGCTCAGCTCCTGGGCCGGGCGTTGCCTGCGCCCATCGCCGGCCTCACCTGCCCGCACAGCCCTGAGGCGCGGCCAGCAGCCGCTGGCCAAAGGCCCCCGAGGGGAGGGGGCAGAGGGCCGGCTGCTGCCCGGGGAGCCGCGGTGCTGCCCCGCAGCCCCGCCGGGCCGGGGCTCCATGGGCACCCGACTCAGGCCCACGGGAGCCTGGAGAAGAGCCCGCGCGGCCTCTGGCTGCAGCAGCGGGCACAACTGCCAGCCCGCACACTGAGCACCGCCCTCAGGGACCTTCTCCAGGCTGAGCCTGGGGCTTCCAGGCCCTCCTTACCAGGACCTCGGTGAACTCTGACAGCTGCCCCTTCTTCACCAGCTGCTTGAGCTTCCTTCTCTTCAGGAACTTGGCCACACGAAGCAGAGTTTCCCAAGAGGCCTGGAGGGCAGCAGAGACCCAGAGATGGCCCCACAGGCCAAGGCACAGGACCCACATCCCTGTGCCAAGTTCTGCAGGAGGCTACAGTGAATGAGGTGCCAGGGCAGGAGGCAGCCGAGCCCCCTCCCCGAGATCCACCAGCATGACACAAAACCTCACCTTTGCCACACACTGGTTCTCATCATGGCAGTGGAAGAAGAGTGGAAGGAGGCTTTGGCTCAAAATTCTTTGCAAGGGGCTTTTTTCCCTCATCCACTACCAAGTCCATCACCCTGAAGAAGAGCTGAAGGGAGAGCACTTGCACATAGCTGTTGTCCTGGAGGAATGGAAGAGGATGAGGCCTTTAGACCAATTACTCCAGGCTCACCTAGGCAAAGTTTCTGGGCAGCAGTCAGTGCCTGCAACTGGGGACACAGAGCCTTACATGGTCAAAGAGCAGCAGCAGTGCCTCAGCTAGTTTTGGGGCAGTGGTGCTGGATACCAGGACGTCTGCCTGGAGCACATTTGTGAACACATGGATGGACATGCTGACCACCTCTCCATCGGCATCACCCAGCAGCTCCAGAAGGCTCGGAGACAGACTGCACAGTCTGCTGGCCTGTGTGGAACACAAGGCTGTGCTGCAAAGCCATGGATGGCTGCACCGCCAACACCGCCCTGGCACTGCAAGCCCACCCTGCTGCTGCAGGGCCCACAGGCCAAAGGCCTGATGCAAAGCACTGGGGCAGGTGAGGCAGAAGAGCTGGGAGCAGCTGCCTCAGCTCCTGAAGCCCTGCACGCCCAAGGGGCTGCTTTCCTCAGCGCAGCTTCAGCCACAGCCCCTTTCTCACGATCGAGGGATCCTTGCTGAGCACCACGAGGCCTCTGAGCGCCAGGCGACGCTGCTCCCTGCACTCCATCTGCAGGCAACTTGACATGATCTTCACAAGAGTGCGAGCATATTTCCTCAAGTCCAGGCACTCAAGGACCTGAAAGGCACAGGGCAGTGACAGGGGAGCCATCCAGCAGGAGTCCAGAAGCGCACAGGGCCGGGCCCAGGCAGCAGCACAGGGCATGGGCACCGTTCCAGGCAGCTGGGGCTGTGAGAGGGCACAGAGCTGGGAGGCAGCTCAGCGAGGCAGCGCTGGCCACCAGGCTCACCTCCACAAGGAATGCCAGCAAGGGCAGATCCCATCTTGGCTTTTCACTGCTGAGCAGCAGGAGAAGGCAATATGTGACATGGGAACACAGGGGGGTCAAGTCATAATGCATCTCCCTGGCAGGGGGAAAAAAGGAGACCCTGATGTAGGGGGAAAACCTCTCCCAGGACTGACTCAGAGAGGTCTGGTCTTTCCCCAGCATCCCTGGAGAGGATATGGGAGGCCCCTGGAGGGGGCTCTGGGAAGTGGCCCCTTCTGGGCACTCTCGTCTCCCAGCCTTTTTCAGGCTCCTTGGCCGTCCCTCAGTGACGAGGCTCCATGGCCCATGACCACAGGGACTGTGTGGAGCACAGGGCACAAATGCCGGGCGCAGTGGGGAGAAGGGGGTCTCACCTGGCCAGCAGACCCATGGCATAGTGCTGGGTGTCAGCACACAGCAGCGTGTCCCAGCCACACTTGCGCTCCATAGACATCACCACGTGGTCACACTGCAGCATGTAGAGCAGAACCTTCATGGCCTGCACTGCAAACCTGTGTGCAGAGCAAAGGCCAGGTCACACTGGGAGCGCTGGCACTGGCCACAAGGACATGGGAAGGACAGGAGGACTGGGACCTGTTAAGCTTGATGGGAAGGCGGTGTTCCTCCTGGCATGCTCTCCAGAAGGTATCAACTGCCTCTGCTGGCATCTGCTGTGTAGTGATGACAATATGGAAGAGCAGTGCCACAAACAGTTGCTCAGAATAAGGGATCATGGCCTTTTTGCACTCAGGCACCTGGACAGTCACCCAGAGCACCAGAGCTGCCTGCAAAAGAAGCAGCCCAAGACAGCGCTCAGTGCCAAGGCGTCCATGGGGCAGGGCCCAAGGGCAGATGCAGGAGGAGCAGCAGGCTTGGTGCCCCCTGAGCCTGCCCCTAGACCAGGTTTCAGCCCAGTGACTCCGGCACCAAAAGGACTGAGAGCTACTGGAGAGGCGACCTGGGGCTGAGCATGGGCCCAGAAACTCAAAGCCAGGGCAAAAACGTTGCTGTTGTCCCCATCAGAGGTGCATGCGCTGTGCAGTGGCCAATCCTCCATTACACGGACCAGTGTTGGCAGCACTCTCTCCATTGTTACTTGTGACGAGCCAATTGTTCTCCATATGATTGCAGCAGCTCTGTGGGATCAGATCTCTTTGTCAGGGGCATCTCAGTCACAGTACCTTGCCCTGTGCAGCTGTGGGAGTGCAGATGAAAGAGCCCCAGTGCCCTGAGGGGCAGGGGGGGAGCATTGGCAGCAGGCTTGGGAAACAGAAGGGCCCGAGGGTCCTGGACCTCTGTGCTTGTCTGGCAGAGCCCATAGCACAGGCGGTGCAGGGCCATGGGCCCTAAAGGCTGGTGAGCCCTGAGCTCTCCAGGCACGTGGGCCCCGTACCTGTCACATGTTGGGGCACAGCGCAGGAGGGTCAGCACCACGTCAGCAGGCTGTTCTTCAGCCAGCCTCACAATGTCCCTTTGCAGCCTGGCATCCACAGTGCCCTGGGACAGTAGAGTCTGGTGGATGTTTCTTATGATGGCTGGCACCTGGAGGAGGCATGGGGTAGATTTTGAGTGCTGTCCTTGGGAGCAACTTCCCCAGCTTCCCCCAAGAAGTTCTTCCCTTCCCGCCACACTGTGCTGGCCTCAAAGGCTGAGGGGGCCCAGTGACCATGCCTTGAGGGGACACACAATCCTGGCAATCCTCCAGGTCTGGCCCCAGGCTGCTTACCTGCTGCTGAGAAGGAACAGCACTCTCCTCGAAAAAATCCTTAATGGGAGCATGAATCCCAGTGAGAGTGGGCCTGGTGCCAGTATTTGAGATGTCCTCAGTCTCTGCAGTGTTGGTGTTTATGACGGCCACATCCTCAGTCACTGCCTTGTCTGCCTTTGCCCTGTCCTCATTCATTGCAGCCTCAGAGTTTTGTGAGCGCTCAGCCGAATCTGGGCTGACATCAGGCTCTGCCTGGAGCTCAGTCAGCCCCGAGTCAGGCAGGGCTGTGCCCTCAGCTGCTGTGGTGCCGCTCTTTCTACGTCGTCGGATGCACAGGAATTTCCGGAACACCTGCAGGAGAATAAATGGCAGGGAAGCCAGGGATGCCAGCATGGCATGCTCCAAGCGTGGTGCTGGGCTGAGCAAGGACAGCAGGCCCAGCCCAGGTGGGGGTGGCTGCAGGTACCTTCAGGGTTTGGCGCAAGCAGCCACGGCAGGACTTCTGCTCTTTTGTCATGTCCAGGGCTGCATCTGGCAAAGAGCAAGCACAGCCAGAGCTGAGGGGCTGCGGGAGAGCCTGGAGAAGACAGCCCAGCCCTGCGCTCCCAGGCAGGGAGAGCCCCAGCATGACCCAGGGGATAGAGCACGGCCATTGTGGGGTGTCTGTCCTGCCCCTGTTTCATCCTGTCCATGGGCATTTCCCCAGGGGATGAGATGGGATGGGATGGGATGGGATGGGATGGGATGGGATGGGATGGGATGGGGCCAAGCTGGATGTACCCATCAGCCCTGTGGCCCAGCTCTGCTACTCACCATCCTGCAGTGTCTGGATCTGCTCTGGATCTTCAGGCTGTTGTGCTGGGGCAGCTCCAGGGCTTCTCTTTTTTTTCCCCCTGAACACTTTCAACATGCTGGGGAATCTGGCTGCCATGCCAGAGTCTGTTCTTGAGGGCGTCCTAAAAAGAGATGCCTCAGGATATCCTCAAGTGAACAATTGCAGTTGTGCCCTCAGGGCACCTGCAACAGGGAAGCCTCAGGAAGGCTTCAGGACAGGAAGCCCTGCACTCTGGTCTTGAGGGCTCCTGCCACAATGACAGGAGGCTCCTCCTAAGTGATTCAGGTGACCAAATCCCACGGTCGATGGCACTGGCCGCAGGAATGGCAGATACCTTGGAAAAGCTCCGAGTCACAGAGTCCCACAGTCTGGCCTCGAGCTCAGCTGCAGGAATAACGCTGCAGAAAAGCACCGGGAGAGACAGAAACGAGTGTGCTGTGTGGGGGCTCCTCACAGCACTGCTCTGTCCTGTTCTGTCCCGTTGCCTGTTCTGAGCACCCGGGCAAACTTCTATTTCCCACATGTCACAAAGGTCCCTTGGACACCGGGTTCCATTCCATGCAACGGTGACTGTGCTGCAGCTTGCCACCCAGGGCCATTGCACAACTGCCACCTGCCCTGGGGCTGCCCCCAGCCCAGCCAAAGTGGCCCCCAGACTGGAAGGAATCCCTGGGCCCAGGTGTCTAAGGCAGCCCCACAGGATCTCTTGGAACTGCTCAAAACATCAGCAAATGCTGCCCTGCTCTGTGGGCTCAGGGCATTTAAGAATCCTCACTTCAGGAAAGCTTTGCTTCCCATTGCTCAACTCAAGTAGTTCCAAAATTTGCAAACTTCTCCAATTA